ACCATACCTCTCGCGAGCCCCTACGACAGGATAGGGCCTACGCGAGGCACGACTTACCTACACCTTACGGGAGTTGTCACCTCCCTTCGGTGGGCGTATCCCCGCCGAGCTACTTGTCCACAGTACGAAAGCTAATCAGTTGCAATCGCAGAGGTGGACCAGCCGAGGGCGTTTCTCGTTCGCTGTAGCATAGGGGGTACGCGCGGTAATACGCCTCTACCGGACCCGCACGCAAACCGACATCTTGGGGGGGGCTGAGGTCCCAAGCGTGACTCATCGTCGGTCGACTAGGACGCATCCCACACACCACGCGCACTCCACTTTACGAACACACATACACACAAAACAACATATATACGAAACGACACAATACCAACAACGCGACAACGCTCCTAGCCCCTCGGTAGCCAACCCATAACTTCCCAATGCGGAAATCGGATAGGTGTCGCGCGTTGAACTTAGTATAAAACCGCGTGGACGCAGGGCATACTCACATCGATTTGCAATGCAGGCATACGCAAGCAGTCGCAACGATGACGTACTATGTAGTGCCCGTAATCAAGCGGTCCCTCATGGATCCGAGTACCGCTTATGACACTCAAGTGTCAGACTTGAAGTGTCGTGAGGGCCTAACCCTTAACGACATTGCACGGCTGAAGGAAAAGTCATGCAGCCGCCGCTGCACCTTAGCCTCTCGACCTGAGTGTCTCGCTAGGTAAATCAAATAGGCTCTTCGCGAGGGAAAACCCCTCCCCTGCAGAGCCTAGGGCTTGGGATGTCCTGGACAAGGACCTCGAATCCCGACCCAGGACCAAACGTCCGACTAAGAAAATCATCAAAAAGCAAGAGACAATAATAAAAGGAGAGACCTCCCCTAAGCCCCTCAGTCTCAGCTTCTGAGCGGACTCTAATGTGGGGGCTCTTCAACCCATGCAGACATTCATCCCAAGTATACCCATGTATATATACATAAGGGTTAAATATGTGACGATCACTTCTCATGGTTTCGCTGGGGTCTCTCACAATAATAAGTATATGTGTGATAGTAGTCAACCAAATCCAGAATCTGATTTACAACACATACCTGTCATCACATCAACGAACCAAATCAACAGCCCACACACTACACGGAGTCAACCCCAACCACCTTCGACACTTATACCCCTCGCTTTAGCCATGCAAGCCCCAAACCTCCTGTCCAACCAACCTTAATTAAATACTCAGCACCTTTGTTAAATGGCCATTCAATAAAAGTCCGGGTGAAACCTTAATAAAACAACGAAATCACCAGGGCTAAAGCCTTTTAGGTTGAGTGTAGAGGGAGAGTTGAAATTGAGTCGAAGACCGACGAATCGGCAACCGACCTGTTATCAGTGATAACAGTAAGTGATCCTCAAGGGATCAAGCTGGATCTAGCCCTGAACTTGGATCAAATGATCAAAAGGACCTGTAACACACGGCAGACCAATCCCCAACTAGGATCATAAGTGTATGGAGAATACAACTCCATAATACATCCTCACTCAAACTTCCTTATTAGCTAAATCTAAGTCTACTTTTAAGTCAGTGTTTAAGCTGAAGGTAGACCAACTGCAAAATCTCCCCTATTCTGGGTGGATCGCCTGAATCACCTATCAAAATATAATCTATCTC